CCCGCCCGCCCTCTCTTTCTTTCTGTTTCCGTCACGCTTCAGCTCACAGGGGGCGTTATCCGAAGCTACCCGAGTCCTTCCTTCTCATCCTCCGAAGAAAGGGGCGACTAACATTGCAGGCATCAGCCAGGGCCCTCTCCTGTCTCGCTTTTAGAGGGCTTCGGTGTTTCCGTTGACACATCCGGAAATCGTTGCTCCAGATTTGTTATTTCGGCTTAAAATGTAAATCTACTGCCACGTCCGTCCACCAAAGATACATAATCGTCTCAGGCAGGGGGGGGGGGTAGAATCAACCTTGAGGACAACGAGTGGTGGCGTTTGTTGTGGATCCTTTCGCTTTTTTGTGGTCCTTTCGCCCCAGGTCGCCGCGCGTTGCAGCCAGTCGCAGCGTTATATTGGCGGTGAGTGCGAGCGGGTGGTGCTTCACGTGCTCCACGTCCCGGCGCGGCGGCCTTGCGCGGGGCCGGCGCGAGACTGACAAGGGGGAGAGCACCGCAAATAAAGCCCCTCGAGGATGCCCGGCCCTCCTCCTCGGGCTCAGATGTGTGTCATTATTGGCAGAGTACTGAAGGCCGGTGCTCTGCCGCCCAAGCCCAAGGTGGAGCGGCAAAAGTGTATGTAGTTCGCCGCGTCAAAATGTGAGGCACTGGCGTGCGTCTGCGTTGCACAGCACAGTAATGACCGAGCTATAGATTCCATCGTGCGGCGCACACGTCTTTTTGATTTTTAAAAGTCAAAACGGGGAAGCCGCTGGCGAGCCCTCCTCGCGATTGGGATCTGCAGATGCGCGCCCCGCTGCTCCTATCGGCGGTCTCCAAACAGGCACCGCCGCGCAGCGCCGCGTCAACCAGGGCGTCCAATCAGCCATTAGCCCAAATCGGGTGATTAGTGCGGCGGCTGACAATAGGCAGTCGGTCCAATACAGGCCGCCCCGCGACCGACCAGCGCCGAGACAGTAACGGAACAGGGGTCCCCGATTCACTCGCCCCCAGGGGCGTAGGAACGATTTTTGGCCAGGGGGGGACAGCTTATCCGACCTTTTTGGCGCCCCCTTACGGCGACTAGCGCCCCCCCCCTCCCCAAAAAGTGCTTATCAATTAAGGAAAAATATATTCTTGCGGTTGTCTCAAACAAATGGTTTCATTTCCACTTTTCCTTATTTAAAGACACATTCCCCCAAATTTTTCTTGTGTATTAAGAAATACAGGGGCAAACAACTATCTCCCGCTCCTTTCAAAAAGAGTCAGACAAAAATGTGCTATGATTTTTCAATAGATCTTCTTTATCGTTTAAATGCGCGAGAAAGTGACAACGGACGAAGTTTGATGCGTAACTGTTATGTTTAGAAAATAGGAGCATATGCCATGAAGTTGTGGCTACAGAGAGGTAATGAAAAACACTGCGAGCGAAGCGAGCTCAAAAATTTTTTTGTGATTGGGGTGCCAAAATCCCCGCGGGATGAGGGAAGGGCGCCCATTTGCGCCCTTTCAGGGCGCATTCTGGCGCCCCTTCGGGGCGGGTTTGGCGCCCCTTCGGGGCGCTCAGGGGGGGGAGCAGTCCACCCCCTGCCCCCCCCCCGTTCCTACGCCCCTGCTCGCCCCGCTGCCCAGTCAGAAATTGAATGAAATCACCTGGTGATTTCTTACACACAATATGACCAAGTAAGAATACTGCGTTACTGACACTGTGAAAAATTTCCTAGTAAAGTTACGACATTTCTTGTAATTTGGAATTACAAACTAATGTTGTAAATTTACAGCGGACCATTTTTGCTCCCTGATTAATTCCAAGTCGATAGGAAGATGTGGTGTGGCAGATGGCGACCAGCACTGAGTTGGGTATTATTTACCTTTACCTCGTCCGAAAACGCAATCCACAGCGTTTTGAAATACACGGCAATCAAAAGAAAACAACATCAACGCGGAGACAATTGTCAAACCGGGTCTATTACAGCAGTGGATAGTCATTCCTCGAAGCGGAATCAAGATAAATCGTCTCGCCGTTAGAAAGAAATGTTTACAACCTGAAACGCCCACACTGATCTGTTAGACTCGTGCTAGCGGTTGACGACTCGGGGGTCGTTCTGAAGGAGAAAAACTACACTTAATTTTATTGTTATTTCGTAAGGGTAGGTCGTCCACATTGAATCCTGTGGTCCACAATTTCGTCAGATTTACGCTCTCACCGGATGAACTGATAGAGGGAGTTCGTAAGAAGGGGTGCTGGGGTGCTCAAGTATAAAAAAATGGAAGAGGACGTATCCCAACGTTGGCCAACACGTCACGGTGCCACATCGTTACAATTTTTCCTCATGTCAAAGAAAAAAATCTTGACGGGTTGTGTTGTGTTACCCGAATCTTAAAGTTAGTGCAGAACTGCAGTGACGCCAAGTACGTGTACTGTAGGCCCTGCTCTTGCCGAACAGAATTGCCGGAGCAGCGAAACAGAACTGGCAACACCGTTTGGTGGCATGGTACACCTTCTTGTTAAAGTACCATACGGTCTTTTAATGGCGGGCACTTACTTTTTGAAAAAGAAAGAGTTCTTGTCGTTTTGTTTTCCAGTGGGCTGCCTCTTTGCTCCTCGGCTGGCATGATGACATCACATCACGGCCGATACCGCTGTGTGTTCAACGAGAAGGGGCCCCGTGTTCTACAAGACACGCCTTCCTAATGACCGACGCTCTATTTCCTCACCTCGGAACGTACGGCGGCGGAGCAGCCCTCCTGTCCGGCCTGCGGGCTATTCAGACAGGCTCCAGGCAGGCTCCTCTCAGCCCCCTGGCAGGCTCCGGGGGCTCCAGGACCGATCCAGGCAAGCTCCAGGACGGCTCCAGGCAGGCTTCCAGAACGGCTCTTGGTGGGCTCTTGGCCGGCTCCGGCCAGGCTCTAAGAGACCTCGTTCCAGGCGTGTCGAATAACAAACACTGTGTCTTGATTGTTAGACACAGCCCTCGAATAGCACTGCACCACGCCAGGGGACACGGTCGTATGATAGCCGAACAAAGTTTTTATAGCTTCTCCACTGTAAAACAAAATATCTTGTACGACAACCAATTCTTGCTTGTCAATTAATACCAAATCGATACGAAGTGTTGTAAATTTACAATTCCAAATTGTAATTTTACGACTCACATTATAAAAACGTCCTCGTAAATCTAAGATACTATTTTCACATGGTGCTCCACCAGGTCGTTTGCAGTAGTTGCCTAGACGTTTGCTAAGTGTGCAAAGTTTGCACACTTCGTGCTGAGCAGTTCAAGTTCGACACCAAGAAAAGTGCCAACTTTCCTCATTTGGAGAGCACACCAATTGCGGTGTGCAACTCTCTACATTTGTTTTACAAAGTGACACTTGGGCACACGCGCGTATGCAAGGGCAGCGGGGGTCAATGAGGCGCAAGAACGCAATGGTCATTCCTCGCCTCATACTCTGATCTGAAATAGTCAGTGGCCCATATTTCGGACAAAATTCGTCGTATTTTCTTGATAACTCCTAATTTATTAGAGGTACGAAATTCGGCGCGGGAATGAAGAAGACCCTAGGCCCTACCTTTTCCCGTAGTGCAAAGTTTCATACCTGAATTTGTTTGCCTGCAAGAGCCCGAAATGTTCTGTCCGAAATTAGGAACAGAAGGTTCTTAATTTCGGACAAACTGTTCCTAATTTCGGACAAAACCGTTTGCCGCTCATGTACTGGCTCGGAAAACAGTTTTAGATATACAGGCGGGTAGGGCGGGTTCTTCCGATAAAAACAAGCCCTCGTACGACATTTTTGGTTCAGAAATAGGGTTTTCAGAGGCGTTTTCAACAATGCTTGCATCTAAAATTCTTAAAAAAGCGCAAAAGTTTTAAAAAGACTTAAAATTATGCTATATCTCAAAAACTATAAGAGATAGAGGGAAATTGACGAAATTTTGGTCCTAAGGATCGTCAAATGATGTGATTACTCATATATAAGACTTTGATTGGTACCTTATTAAGGAACGGAAGGCCGATTCAAAAGTGTCCGAAATTGGGGCCTTTTCGTATTTTGTCCACAGAAACCAAACGACGGTCCGTATCACCAATCCGAAAAATGGAGTAAGCTCAGAAATAGTGCTAGTATACTATATCCAAAAACTAGACTCCTATCTTACACGGCACCTCAGTGCTGACCAGGAGAAGTTGAACAAAGATTTTTGTCGCACATGTTTCACGAGTTGTTTTTGAACTTTAAGCGCGTGCCGTTCAATGGGGAGAAGTCGGATTGGGACCGCACCAGTCGTATGTTAAAGAGGACTTTTTCACCTTTCATTTGACGTCCCGGAAATTAAAATTGGTGAAAAACTATCGGATTTACGGTCGCCTGAAGCCAAAGAATCAATTTTGTCCGAAATTAGGGCTCATGTCCGAAATATGGGCCACTGACTAAATCGTATACGCCTTCGGGGGCAGACCGGATTGCTTTTGAGTTGATGCTAAATGCAAAGCAGTGTGTGCATCAGGATCGTCAAGATGCGCTCGGATACTGCACCGAAGGATCGAAGGGAGTTCGGGAGTTCGGGTTCAAAATCTGGAACAAAGTTTGCTCCTGTGCCCAAGGCGTTCGTCCAGGAACGCCGGGTTGTCTCGCCAAAGGGTCGGCAGTATTTGTTGCAGCTCAGTTCGCCACGGTGTTGCTCTAGCATGTGATAACCCATCATATGATGGCAGAGGCGCCCCCTTCGCGCAGGGTGCTCTCCACCGGACCTGAGGGGCGGCGGGGCGGGGCGGCGCCAAGGCCACGACGAGAGGGGC